TGCTGGATCCGAATGAACTTGTGGGGTTAAAAAAAAAAAGCTCTCCTGCCGTTCTCCTAAAAGGTTATGGCCATTTTCAGAACATCGGGCAAAAGACAACAAAACAATCAGGAGCTTCGGATGCAGAAATAAAATCATCTTTTGCCCAGGACTTCTGTTACTCGCTGCGCTACAGCTCAGTTTAAAAAGACAATTGGAACCGAGCAGCGAATGTTAGCAATTTCACCGGTGCAATGCTATTTTTTTTTTTAAAAAGACTGGGTGAGTGAGCATGCAATGATCTGAGCTATTCCCACCGGTACAGAACAACTGCATACATTCCCATTACCCCCGTCTCTCAGCCTGCCAGTGGCCGCCGTGACAGATAACCTACCAATAAGTGCAGATGCAGCCGTCTGGTTCTCCTAATGGTCCTGATTAAGCGTCTCCCCATCTTTCTAGCATACCACACTGACGCTAACATCGCGCGCTGCTTATCAGAGTTCCTCCAAGTTTCCTCAGCACAGCGACGGCGGCAGGTCTCTGTGACTGATCGCCCCCCGACGCCGCAGGGCCCATAGAGGAATGATGGCTGGGTGTCACTCTGTGCCACAGTGCTGCAGATCTTTCAGCAAGGCAAAACAATGACAGCAGGATCCCAACTCGCAAATCTTATTTGCGCCCTTCCTCTTTCCCGTGCAGTCTGCTGTGATCATAGCAGCCTCGTCTGAAACCAGCCTCGCTGTTCTTTTTGGAAACTTTAAATAAATCAGCAGGCGGCAAATGAGATGTTTCAGCACCGAGACAGGACTGACATCAGCACCCCTCTGTATGGTTTCAGGAGCTGGAGCTCGGGAAACAGTTTTGAAAATGTTACTGTCTGAATTCCTGAGCGGGGCCCTCCCCTCCTCTCACACGTTGCCTTCAGCGTGGTTTCCACCAAACAAGCCCTACAACGCAGATGTGATGCATTTAGTGCTCCGCTGGATCTAATCTCCAGGAGAGGCAGGTAAAACAGCAGAAGGGTCTAAAGCTTGGCACCGTCTAGAAAGGTGCCAGTGCCCAGCTCCTGCGATCATTAATGAGTCAGCAGATGACGCTCCCAGAATGCTGACTAAATGATGCTGCACTTGCTCTGTAATGTTTGCAGCCCAGAGGAGAGCAAAGGCAGCCTTGAGCAAGGACGGACTGCTGTTGGAAGAGGAATAAAAGGGCTGGGAGTGGGAAGCAAGCAAGCGCATACTTTTTTCTATTTTTTTTTACCTTCACTCTGCGTTAACCTCCTGCTATTCTCCCGTTAGCTCACTGTACACTTTTCACTGTAGCAAAATTCGTCTCCACTGACGCTGGACGTACCGTAGCTACAAGTGAAAAACTGCACTGCCATGACTGTGCTCCTGCCCTTGGGGTTTGTTTTCGGTTTATGCCGTGTTCAGAGTCTTCCAGGAAGATTCAACCCTACCAGTAAGTGCAGATGCAGTGTAAATGGCTTCTTCCCGTAAACACATAGCCCCCCCCCGCCGATAACTATTTCCAGCTTTGGTTTAAGGTACCTACTATGTAATCATAATGGGGGCTTAATGTTGATCTTTAGACTGTCAGGCAACTCTGGCTGTTTCTCTCTAGGCTGTCAGAGGCCTCGGTGAGCTTGATCTTAATGCTGACATTTGAACTTTCACTCCGAGTCCTAGAGAGGCTATGTTGATTTACAATAAATGTATTTGCTGCATCATTAAAATTCAGAAAGGATAAACCTACAGATCTTACACTGTGGCGTGGCGGAGTAGAAACTGCAGTCCCTAATGTCTGCACTTGACATGCATCGCCAATAGCAGCACTAAATATTCTCCTTGTCAGTTTCAACTATGTACCATGCTGTTCATGAATAAAAATACTCCTGTCTGAGTCAGGATGCCTGAAAACTTGGGAGCTGTCCAGAGTGCTGAATACGCATTTTAAGAAATAATGTAGCTCACCAGTACATATTGGGGTAAAGCTACGTGCCCCATTAAAGGCACCATGACTCAGTGGGATTTTTAACAGAAACATGACTCTGGAACATGCAGGAAAAGACCTGAGTCACTGTTTTATGCCTGGAACAGCACCTTTCAAAGCTGAGTTTTCAATGGAAAATTGAGTTTTTCATTCCATACTACAGCAAAAACAGGCACCAGGGTGTGGGCTACAGGAAACTGGTTAAGATCATAGTTCGCACAAGAAGTGGTCATTTGTTTTCCCCAATGGCCCATTCTGTACAATTAAAGCACAGTATCAAACAGATTCTGTGACAATTATCCATCTCCACATCTAATTCCAACACATTTTGTAAAGATATCGGCCAGAAAGCCCAGAGTGCTGCGTGCTTTAAATGTCTTTTTTTATGATAAACACTGCACATCTACTGCCATTATCCATAAGCATCTCTGCCAATCATGCCCTAATGGAGCAATGCATTAGTTCCATAATAGCAAGTAATGGGATGCTTAAGTGCTTCACATGTTTCACCTTGGGAGGCTCAGTTCATTTGTTACCTTACAGGACTGCGTGCTGCTTCTCTTACTGGGGGGCTTCATTATGGAAATCGGGAGACAGAACAGCGACCTTACCCCAGCTGTCCTCACAAGGAATCAACACACTGAGCGAACTCGGTGAATACAAGGGGTGTATGAAAAGAGGAGGTGTTTCTTGTTTCTTGTCCCGTTCCAGGACTGTTAGACCCATTCTGGTCTTCACATTGAGCAGGCTCTATAAGTCCATGGAGGGGGGCCAATATTATTTCACACCTATCTGGAGTAAATGTGCCTAGGAGAAAAGATTGAAACGATGCTCGTCATACTGCATGTCCGATAAGTGCAATGTGACCAAGAACCTGCAAATAAACTGCTGTGCAATTATCGGTCTGTTCATGTTCCTGTGCGGTTTAACACAACAACGTGAAAAACAATTAAAACTTTTATTATATCTATTGAATAATATGATGGAGTGAATCAGAGCCTGAACTGCAGGTGAACACCTAGAGACTAAAACCTTTTTGGTGTGTGAAGACACCTGAAAAGACTCCAAAGCCGGAAACAGAATTTTAGTTTTTACTTTTCAGTGTGAACTATAATTTGCGGTTTCTTTGGCAAGCTAGAATGAAGGAGTATTTTTTCCATTATTCCTGTCCGCTTTAAGAAAATACAAAGTAACAGTTTGTAGAAACAATCCATTTCCCAGCTGCGCTCCGTGTTCATTCGGAAGAGCTTGCATGGCAGACTGTCAGCTGTTTTGTCTTAATGCAGCACGGCTTGTTTGCTGGGCATCACACCTGCACAGAGACTTCCCCGAGACAAGCAGCACTGACATCGAATCCCACAAATCTAAAGACCTCCTGGAGTTCAAATCGACAGAGCAACCCAGTATAAAATTAAATGCAAGTTTAAAATCACTGTTACAATTAGACAAATTACTGCACGTATGGGCCTGATGAGTTAGTCATAATGCAGGTGGGAAAAGCTTTTTTTTTAAAAAAAAAACAAAGAAACCCTAAGGCAGAAACACTCATTACAGCATCACTACCTTTCAAACAGCCTCTGCCAAGCACTTTGATCCCCTTCCTACCATCTGTTGTATTTCAGCTGCAGCCCATGTCATGCGGCCACAATGATGTGTCTATTTCACTGGCGTGCAGGCTGAGAACCCAGCTCTCTCTCTCCCCCCCTCATCCGGGACACGGCTTTCTTCACTGGCTGTCGGAAACTCGGGAGTCGCCTCGGCTCTCGTTAAAAGACCTGCTCCGTCAGCTGAGCCCGATTCGGAGCCAGGGGTGAAGGAGGCCTCAGCTGGAGAGGACGTAGACCCGGCAGGGCCCCTACAGCACGCGGGCAGCCCCTCATCAGCCCACGCCGGCCGGAGGAGCCACAGCCTGCCTCGTCAGCCACTTGATCTGGGCTATATTTTACTTTCACTTTACGCTCAAGGGGAGGGTGTCTGTTGCCTGATAGACCAGCTTAGGGAGCTTGCAAGTTAGGCTTGTAAGTTACAGGAGCAGCGGCCTTCACAGTCTTTTTACTTAATGACTGTAATTACATAATCTGCATTAGCACAGTGGGTCTGGAAACTGTGGAAAATGCTTGCAGCATGTCAGTGCAAGAGCTGCAACCATAAAAATGCCTCTGACATCTTGGAATTCTTGTACTGCGTGCATGCACTGTATGGGTTTATTCCAGTAACATTTGTAAACGGAAACAATTCAGGACCACTTCACTATTATGTATCCATCACCTCTATATGAATATTTCAGACTGGAAGCAAGAAGGAAACAGACATGCTTCAGCATTTGTACCCTAATACTTACAACAGTCCCCTTTCTAAAGGTTGTGCCCAAAAGCCCTGTACAAAGAGCCCAGTGTTCAACCTTTAACCTTTCTTCAGTGCAGTTAGTTGCTATCTCTGGGGTAATTGTCCAAACAGTACCACAAATCCTGTTTTGTAACACGTCCACAGAATATATGCTAGATGTGCTTGTCTGTGCAGATCAAAAGGGGAACAACCACAAAAGCACGACACAGACCATTCAACACATCAAGAAAAAGCAGGACAGGCGACTTCAACTACAGGAACGCCACACTCGTTAAGAAGCTCAGCCCACATGGCACACTAACAGACAGAACTCAGGAATGACCAAACATAGTAAACACAAGAGATCACAGTTCAAAAACATCTCTGCACAAAAAGGACACAGAGCAGCCTGCAAGCTCTCTCATGCACCGTGACACCTCTGCCACCTAGTGCTTGCAAAGCATACTGCAGGACAACTTTAAGCAATGCTTCCACCAGTACACTAAAAGCAAAGTTTCTTCCCCAAAAGATAACAGCGAACACTGCTTCTGGACCAGCAAGCAAACAATGGTTTCTGAAACTGACAAAAAGGTAAGCCACACCTCGCATAGACTCAACAGATACACGGTTTAGCACAGAAAGGCTAAATAAGGCAAGGACAAATGCCAAAGATGCCACAATCCACAATCAGGCAGCGTTACCTGGGAGAGCGAACCGTTTTGTATGTACAAGGCCGGCAGCGCAGAAGCAGGTATCTCGTCATTTCCTAAAGCTGATGGGCCATCGAAGATGCACTCCAGCGATTCTACCTATAAAGGGGCATGTTACTGTACCTGATCGGAAACAACCCACAGCAGCAGAGCACAGGAGTGGGTGTGAACAGAGGAGAGAAACACTCCACAGTCATTTACACAGCAGCAGCAGCAGAGGACAGGAGTGGGTGTGAACAGAGAAGAAAGACACTCCACAGTCAGGGACACAACAGCAGCAGCAGAGCACAGGAGTGGGTGTGAACAGAGGAGAGAGACACTCCACAGTCAGGGACACAACAG